AATGCATGGCTGATGGAGAGAATGTTCTTCCTTGTGGACACCCATCTAAAACCGGACTACCCTGAATTTTTTCCTTTGAAGTTTTGGATGATGCAAAATCAAGAGCAATAAATTGATTCCAACAAAAGCTGCCTCCAATCTCTTTGCCACTCTCAAACGGGAAGCACAGAATTAAACGTGCATTGGGGATTGATATATTCCCCCTAAAACTGTCTGTTGAATGCAAGGTCCTGATTTGGAGGTGCCCATCTCCTTGAAATGGATCATGCTTCTCCCTACATCCCTGATCCAAAAACCCATTCTTCTTACTGCTTCTTTCAATAGATTTTCCAACTTCCTTGAAAAGGTTCAGCAACATATTTATCAAATGAAAGTTCAACCAGAATATGAATGGAGGCAGATTTAATGAAAACAATGTTGGTCTCCTTAAACTGCCATCTGATAATCGGGAGTCAATAGTAACCTGGCACTGGGTAACACCTGAGGATCTCAGCAACAAAGTTTTAACTGCATTGCCCTTCTTTCCAGATAAAAATGCATCAGCAACTAGCCCACTTAATCTGTCTAAATCAGGACCTTCAGCAGAAGAGGGAAATGGAGGGAGAGTATCCTCAACTTCAGCTTGAAGATTCTTAATCCAATACGTTTCACACTTAATATCACCAACACTTCCTTGAAAATCAAAGTTCATTACGTCATTTTCACTGCACAGATAGTGGGCAACCTCAACATACTTCATCGTTCCTTCCAAGCTCATTTCCCAAGGACGTACCTGTTCACCTTACCAGGTGTCTGAAGTTAATTTAGTGCGAAAAATACTAAAAAATTAGGGAGCAAAAATCTCCAAGGACAATCATTACCTGCATGGCAACAAAAAGGCCTCTGCATTCTGCAGCCACATAATTAGCATCCATAACATCATGTGCCTGATCGCCGTCATCATGAAAAGAAAGCACAATTGAAATTCCAGCAATAGTTGCCCTGAGATCGGTTTGGATATGCTGCTGTTCTGCAAGGAAGCCAAGGAAGAAAGTTATTAAGTGGGAGCTAAAAATGTTTCTCATCACACAATCATAAAATTTTATATGTATTTATACCCCCTATGCACTGCTGGAGTATTCTTGAGTTAAGTGTATATATTCAGGCTTATTGCTTCATTGCCGTACAAAGCAATTATTACATCTTAAAGCCCATAGGTATCGATATCAAACTCTCAAAATGCTAGATAGTAAACTAATAAAAAATTAATCCCTGAAAAAAAAAAGTTTCTCAAAAAAGTTATACATTGTACATACCAGAAGGAACATGCCAAAGATCCAGAAGCCAGGCTAGAAACACAGTAATTTGCAGTGAAAACAGAANAGTGAGTTGTAAGGGGATCAGAATTGAATAGCATAATGCTTTAGTCAGATGCAAGGTCCAAATAAACTAGGTGGAAATTCAAGTACGATTGTTCTTCAATCCAACATTTTAGGAAAAGTAATTCAATTTTAATCTAAATATCTATAAATAGATCAAATTCAATCCAAGTTTGACTTGGAGGAAAAATGAAGCTTCAAGTAAAATATTTAACTTTTTTTCCTCATTCACATAATGTTTATCTTGCGTTTACTAGAAAGATCCATCAAATATATTTCATTCTCAGAAAATACTCAATGACCATAACAAGCATAAAAGCAAGAAACTTTCTAATCTCTGGAAGGAATTTATAAAGAATGAGAAGGTCCAAAGGACGTCGGGCTACCTACCTTGCCCCGAAATCAACATCTTCAGTGCCAACATTCTGCTTATAGCTCACAGACCGTGGTACCCAATCATGTATAAGGTGTGACCCAGGCGGTGTAGTTCCAGTTACTAATTCTTCACTATTTGGAGCATACAAGTTAGTAGAAATGGTACCGCCAATATGTACATCTTGGTTAGTAGGAATCGCAGATGAATGGAAATGAGAAGCTGAATTGAAATAAACTGATTCAGCTGTCTTGCAAGATGTGTGGGCCCTCCCATCATTAGCAAGATTCTTCAATACTTCCCATGAAAGCAAGAACCATTTAAGTATGATGGGTTGAAATCTTAGCTTTAACGGATCAACATAAACATCTGCGTTAATTCTGCGGATATCTAAGGAACCATCATTCCAAGGTATACTCAACTTTAGGCTCCCTGAAATACCGCCTTCCTTCCCCACAGCGATTGGAGTTGCTGCATTTGACGGACAATATCCGGTAAATTTTTCGTCAAGAGATGTTCTACCGTCAACATTATCCATTCGGAGAAGTTCAAGTATGGCTCCTTGAAATTTTACAAAGTTCATAAGTTTACTTATGCCAAGGAAGCTCTCAATTTTTGAACTGTTACTTGAACTAGATTCTTCTGACACACAAGTTCCGCACTCTATTTCTGTTATTCGTAGAACCAAGGTTGTGCAAGTAGCCGCTTCTGTTTCATCTTTCTCTAAATTTGGATCAAGAGCAACAATCAAATTTTTTATCTTCACGTGGAAGCTTGTAAGAAACCATTTTACCATCTTAGCAATTGTCTTGACGCCCTCATGGACATCAGAGGACGTAGATGTAGTGGCACTATCCAGTGCATCATGCCCAGGTTTTCCCACATCATGGTGTATAGTATGAGGACCATCTTGACTGGTGCTACAAGTTCCATTGCCACTTGATGAATTACTTCTGAGTCGGGGAGCAAGAACAACTTCAAGTTCATCCACCTCAACTTGACAACCTTTGCCCTTCCAAGGCATTCTAACTAATAAGGAGCCGATCGAACCCTCTTTTATAATCAAAGACGCTGCTGCACCTAGCTGGAAAACATTACCATATGAACACCATATAATTATCAAAAACATATATAGCAAACTAAGAGAGTCATAATCAGAATTAATGAACAAGAAACATAAAATCATTTTGGCATACAAAAGTTGGGCCACTAGGGGATGCACGTTTTGACTTTCTTCTAAAACCAGCCAATAAGCTTGTTTTTAGAGAAAATTAAGCCATCCAAATATCTGTAAGCTCTTTGGTTTATAAGCTCTTGCCTTTTAAGAGAAAAATAAGTATTATTAGAAAATTAAACGGAAGCACATAAAGATGACTAGATATCCTTGCACAACAACAAAAGCAAAAGGAAAGAGAGAAAAGAAAAGAAAGCCAGCAAAATACAAAAAGAATAGCCGGTCAATCCGTACATAAAATAGACAGAGAACAATCTTTAGAACGCCCATGCAGCTTAGCATGTTCAGATGCAAAAAGGGACAACAATCCCAGTCTTTGTAAGTTCTAGGCTTAAAAATCAACATAAAACTTAAGCTCTCCATATCCTTTTATTTTAAATTTTTAGTTTACTCTTAAAAGTTAGTTGATTTTAAAAAATAATAAGTAGCTGGTAACAAGCTTTTACAATAATGTTCCTTCATAATTGACCAAACTCATTGTCTATCCAAATATTGCACTGTTTAACACCTAATGGAAAAAGTTAGTATGCAAACACTATTTTCCTGCAGATCAGAAGATGACAGTTTTTTAATAACTAAATAAATAAATATAGGCAAAACATATTTGACATAAAATCATTTCTGTGTGTTGTCTCTTCCTCGTGACTTGTTCAGGCTCAAAGCTTCGTACATTCTTCTGGCAACCCCATTGCATTGGTCAGTGAAACTTCCATTGGGTGACCACAAAATTATCTATGCTTTTTCGTTCATGAACCATTAGAGGAATGAACCAACCATCGACTTATGTTCAACATAACTCTTTTTTCTATAATAGAATTCACCTCCAGATAATGTTTGCATTAAACCAATGGCTCATGTCAACTCCTCGCAGAACACACATTTAGTCTCGTTTCTGGAAAGCAGAAAACACAAAATGAAAGTGCAGGTTCTTTTGCTTATTCTTTTCTGCGGGAAATTATCTAGTAAGCATACTTCCAGGTGCAGAAAATACTCTTTCTGTGGAAATAAAACTAACAATAAGAAAGCTCAACTCAATTGAGCTCTGGGCCTAATCAACCCCCTCAAACTTATAACTCCAATCGAAAAAAGTCACATTTCCAACAGTTTCATCAAATACAATAACTCTGACCACATTTTCTCGAGTACGGTAACAAAAATAAAGAAGTTAAGGAAGTAGTTCCACCGACTGGGATCTCCCAACTAATATTCAATTCCTACTTCTTGTTCAAATTTTCCAACCAAAACTTTCAGCTCCAAGTTGCCGAAAACTACATAAACTGCACGTACCTTTTCATTCAGGTAATCCACGTTCAGCGCAAGATCACTAAGCTGGATGGTGCCATCGCTAAGCTGCACGTCGAGCTGATCAAGGTCAACTTCCCCCAATATGAATTTCCCCAGCTTCTTCTTCAGCAAAAATTTGCAAACCCTCTTCAGCGCCCACCGCGAGAAGATGGCTTCCGCCGACCTCGCGATGTTCCACGGGAACATCATCCTCCTCCCTCGCTTTCAATGAACGGAAAGGTGATAGAATTGGGAGGTTGAATTGGGAGGTTGAATTGGGGGGAATTAGGGTTTGCGATACGCAATTACGGCTCCTATATAATAGGCCTGCGGCTCGTGATGGAAGATTATCGCTTCCATCAAGAGCGGAATCAGGGACAGAGAGTTTGAATTTGAAGCAATTGAGGATTTGATGTGAATACGAAGGCGGCTGTTGTCTGTGTTGGGGTGTGTTTGGCGCTTTTCTGCAGATGTCGTCCTCCCAATAATAATATGTTTTCTAAATAACAATTACGTAAACTTCTTTAACTGTTTCGAATAATTTCTTCTTCTAAAATCTATATCTATTTCTATATGTATATATATATATGTATGTATATGTGTGTGTGTGTGTGTGTGTGAGTGGGATTTCTTATGCGTTAATTATTTTATTTTTGAAATATATATATGACTGTATATTTTTGAATGATATATAATTATAATTTTGTTAATTCATGTAGAATAATTATAATTAATTAATTTTTTAATTAATTACGTACAAACAAACATTAATCTTCTTTATTGACCATATACACGTTAATTTAAAAATTAAACAAATAAAATTATAAATCACAGTGCATTAATTTCAAACACGATAATTAATTAAAATATAATCATATAATAATATTATTACACTAACATTTTATTTTTATAATTAAAATAATTCAGTATATATTTATTATATACTATTATCTTAAATGTATCGATAAGTATAGTCTATATTATCGTATTAATTTTATTTTAATATATTTAAAAATTATTTTTATATTTTAAATTATGTTATCAAGTTCTGTCAAGGCCGTGTTTGGTGTTTCTGAAAAATCAACGAGCATATTCATGGGTTCCTTGAGTCTCAACCATAGATGCCTGTATCTATCACCTTTGATAATAGTGGAGGAAGATACGAGTAACTTTGGATTTTAGAGTTTTGTCTATAAATTCATATTCAAATATATTACATGTAAATTTATTTAAAATTGTAAAATATATAACTTTATATTAAATTTATATAAAATTATAACATATAGTTTTAATTTTCATATAAATTTTACCGTTTGTCTTACATGCGTGTTTATATATATATATATACACATATATATACACGTGTGAGTTTATAAAAAAAAAAAAGACATATTAGAATTATATCACCCGGCAAGGGAATATTGCTTGCGTCATGTTTATTATGCACGCAAGAATCTGACGTGATCATTAAATAATATTTATAAATATTATATTATTTTATATGTTATTTTTTGTTATTTATTACTATCGATTTTATTAATAAAAAAATAAAATTTGTTGTATATTTGAGTGAGGCTTTTTTTTTTTTTTTGGAAATGTGAATTTGATTATTAGATATAGCATGCGGAGAGTAAATTTTGAAATGTAAATTTAATGTAAATATATATATATATACTTAAAAATTTTAAATGCTAACAAATAAGATATGAAAAATTTAATGTTGTGAATTAGTAGGATGAAAAACTTTATTGTATATTTTTTTATGGAAAATAAAAGATATATTTATATTATTATCGTAATATGCTCGACGTCTATACAAAATTAAAAAAAAATAAAATTAATCGACTAAAAAGAAAAAGGGCCCAAAAAAATGTACTTATTTATATAATATTCTATACACTAATGGGCCTTACTAAGTTTCTCATGCTTTTTTGGCCCATTAATTTACATTTCCAATATTGTATATATATATAAATATAGAGATTATTCAATTTTATTTTTAATGAATTAAATGTGAAAGATATTTTTGAGTATTTATGGCATTAATCATGGTTGGTTGATTAATAATGAGAAAAATAATACAACATAACACCTAACCTTTTGATTCGTTAAAATGGTGTTTATTTTTTGCTTTTTTTTTTTTACGATTTCGGTATTGATAAAATCATATATATATAAATTTATTTCGAATACTTAAACATTCTCAATTTTAAAAAAATAAAAAATATATATATACCAAAATAACAGGATGAATTTTAAAATACTATTTCTGCATCTCTCTGATTAAATTTAATCACATTAGAATTACTTGTTGATGGTTGATCGAGTTTGATAAATTCGCTATCTGAATAAGAAATTTTAATCATGATAAATAATATCAATTATTTAAGGTCTATCTAATGTATCTATTATGGTTATTTCGTACGTAAAATAAAATATATATTTATAAAATTTTTAAAAATAAATAATGAAGAATGAATATTTATAAAAAATAAATTTTATCAGCGTAATAAAATTTTAGATTTTTTTTTAAAATTTATATAATAAAAATGAAGAATGAATATTTATAAATAGAGAAGAGGCGTCATAATGGCAATTCCAATAATAGGGAAGAGCAATTAAAGGCTGCATTTGCAATAATACGCTGTGGATAATGACCAATCGGCAAATGGGTCAGAGAGAAGATAGGATACTGCGCAGGCTCACGCAATCATCGATGGACCGCTCCGTCTACGGCTCGTCACTGAAATCTGAATACAGTTGCATTAATTATGAATATACAATATTTTAAGAAAATAATTTAATAAAATTTTAAAATAAATTATTAAAATTTTATATTTATTTGATTACAATTTAATTAATCTAATTTCTTAAAAAAGAATTTAAAAAGAATTTAAAAAATACGAGTAGAACTAATTAATTGACTTAATAAATTAATAAAAAAATTTAAATACTAAATATAATTTAATTAATTTAGCTTTTTTTTGTTAGAAAATAAAAAAAATGAATGTGCATTATGAACTAAATTACAATGAAAAATATATTAGAAACTAATTTATAATAATTGTCAAATTTTGAAAATTAATTTAATAATTTACCAAAATTGATGACTTAAATTTAAATATATGAACAAAGACTGAATTGTAAATTTTTTAATTTTATTTTTAATAATTTTTCTTACTAAATACAAAAAAAAATTACAATATTTAAATTATAATAAAACTAATATTTTTTATTTTAATTTTCAGTAAGAATCGAAGTGATTCAAATAAAAAGTATATATTTTTTTAAGCTAGTAAAGCAAAATTTTTGTTTAGTTATAAAAAATTAAATTAAAATATTACAACTGTAATTTTAGCATACTATATAAATAAATGATTTATTTCAGAGATAAGGAGAAAGGGCAAATCCGTCATTTCCTTAGGATGGAGCGGTAAATTGTGTAATGAAAAGACCAGATAAATCTCCCCCCTCCAGGAAGTCGTTAAAAATAGAGCGCCTTGTCTTCTTCCCATTTTTGTTTTTGTTTGGCTATTTTCTTCTCTGCTGCTGATTCCAAAGGAGACCTAAACTCCGGCAGAGAAAAATGGAGCTTAAGCCTGGTTTATCAGCTGTCGTCACTGGTGCTGCCTCGGGGATTGGTAAAGTTCTGCTTCCTCCGCTTTCTGTAGTAACTTTTGAGCTGAAGCGCTTATTAAATTGCACGTTCTCATTGATTCTTATGGTTGCATACGTGAGTGTTTTGTTATTGACAGAGTTATTATTATAATTGAGCCGTTTATTGAATGGCATGTTTTTGTAGTTAGGCTTTGATTTCGAATTAGCAGGTGGAGTTCTTGAACTTGGATTATCACTATCATTAAGTATTTTTTGTAATGTGTTGATTTTGATATGTATGCATATATATATATATATATTACATGTAATAAATAACTCAGAAAGTGAAGTAGGTCGGGGAAGATACATGGATGCATTTTTTTTTTTGAAAGAACTAGGGATCATGACTAAGATTGCTACAAAAAGGACGGCTGCTCAGAGTTTATGATCTTTGAGATTTGATATTGATTCATTTGAGGGAGTTTTCGAGTTGACCGTTGCTGCTCTAGTTTTTCTTGATAGCCTCACTCAAACTATGGTTTTTAGCTACTGTAACCAGTCAAATCCAACGAAGCACATAAGCAAATTTTAAAACTATAACGGCTGCAATTATTGTCTAATTTCCAAATTTTA